TGGGGTGTGGTTTTGATGGAGTGTGGTTGTGGTGGGTGTGGGTGTATATATGGGTGTGGGTGGCTGTGGATGTGAGTGTGCGGGTCTGGGTGTGCGTGAGTGTGGGTGTAGATGTTGGGTACGTTTGGATGGGTTGGGGTGTGGGTGTGTGTTTGGACTTGGGATTAAATGGAACGTGTTCTTATGCATTCCACAGCGAGGCCCACGCTGATCCTGCACCTATATGCCCCTTATATGTTTTGCAACTGAAAGTTTAGATTTGAGGATGGTTGGAAAACCTATTGAGGCAGTATTCTTCGATATTTTCTGGAATTTTTAGTGGGGTGTGGTAGCTAATGCTACTATGCTTGTTGTTTATGGAAGTTTATTTAATGAAATGAGGGTCGTTCGATTACCTTTAGTTCTCGATATAGTTGTCGGTTTATTACGACGAGGTCCCATGAAAGTGCACGGCGAGTATTAGCGGCGATGTTGGTAAGAAAACTATGTTGTCATTACTGGTCCTTTCTGAAATCCGTACTTAAGAAAGTTTTCTGATATGGCGCGTGTGAAATGTAGCTTTTGTTGTAGTGTATAGCTGTCAAATGCTGCTTGGGATTCGGATTGAATGCGCAAGCAATAGTGACTTCCTACGGATACAGCGGGTTTACACGGTTCAAATTCTTTTCATTCTCTTTTATCTTGATGGCTTTTATTTCAAATAGAGTTTCATAGAGGTTTTACAAATGATCTAATGGCTATAATTGTATAACGGACAGATTTCGAGCATGCAATATAGAGTTTTTTTTATCAGTTAGATGGTTTGCCTGAAGATCACGGCACTCTTGGGATGTTGTTGTTTTAAACAATGAATTGAAAACGCTTCCGAGTAGTTTGTGCTATTTTATCTAATCTTTTAAGTTCTTCTATTTGGGCCGTTGATGGTTTAACTCGAAGTGTTCCAAATTCGAATGGACGTATGATTAGTAAATCGTCAAGTCTCTTTACACGAGATAATGGAACATAAACCGATGCGAGTTCAATTGGACCAGGCGGCATCACCAGATCGACGATAATTTTACCGAGTGTTTGGCCTTGGCTTTTATGTGTTGTCATGCTGTATGCGGGTATAAGTGGAAGTGCTTTACGTTTGACGGTGAGTTTTGTTGTTTTCTTGTTTATTTTGGCTGCTTTTGCTACATTTTCTGGAAGAAGTTCTTTGGCGTCGAACAAGAATGTTTGTTCACTAATAGCTATAGGAACTATTTTGGACTGCAGTTCAGCAAGTTTGGTATTAAGTTTGCAACCAGGAAATTCTACTAAAGCGTACTTTGGTTGCGTTATAAACTTGGTATTTGGTGGAAAATTCTTATCCTGGTATCTAACATCTTCTGGTGATTCATCGTATACAAGTTGACGAAAAATTCCACGTGTACCGTTGGAGAGTCCCAGTTCGGTAGCGATGTTTTCTGTGAGTAAAACTGGCATTCCTGGTACGAGAGGCAGATACCCTGGAAGATGTTCGGTTTTATTGTCAGGTAGTTCAAGTATGGCTTTACGTAATCGTAGATCATCCACTGGTTTTCCTTGAATATAATCTTGAGCAATGCATACAATTGGGGTAAGTCCCATTTCCATTGTTTTGTTTAAGACAGCTCTATTATTAATTTGAGTGCGTAGCGTATTCCGAAAAACCAGTATTGGAGCCTATTGAAAGAAAAGTAGTGTGATACACAGAGAAAATGAATGTGCATACTTCGTTCCATGGCTTTTGTTGTAGAGATACTTGAAGTTTTGGATTTCCTATGACTCTCGTACACAGAAGTTGGTAATCTTCTATTGTCGATTGCCCATGTCTTAATCTATTTAAAAGCTCCAAATATCTTATGTCTTCGGTTCGCATTTGCTGAGTTAATTCAACAACGCAGTTTATTTCAGACATAAGTTTCTGTGCACACAACATACACCCTAAAATAAAATGTGTCGTATATATGTGTCGTACAAGAATGTGTCGCAGCCTCCATTACAAAAATGTGTCGCACAAAAATGTGTCGCATCATAGATGTGTCATAGCCTATATGTCAATCGTTCATTCACCGATTTGTTTCGCGAGTGCAGCTGCATATAACCCAGCCTATTGGACGTACTTAACTTATACTTTTTCGTATGTCTTTTTTTCTAGATTATTTCTCGACCATTTATTATTCGAGAACATGTCGAGAGGCCGCTAGATGATCGAGAATGGACTGCCTCGAAGTAGTCTGATCGAGATCAAATGGTCTCGAGGCAGCTAGATCTTAAGATCTACCGTCTCGAACGCCAAGAATAGGTGCCACTGTTTGAAATTAACTGAAAAAATAGTAACTATTCGAATTTTCAAAAAAAAAATAATCCTCGTGCCGAAAAATGGATTCGAACCACGTGTTAAAAATGTGTCGCATGTGTCGCACAAGAATGTGTCGTACGTCCGCTGGAAGAAATGTGTCGCAACGAGCTCCTCGTGTCGCATATTAATGTGTCGTACATTGTGTCGCAAAGTGCGACACATGCGACACATTTTATCTTAGTGTGTATCTATCGGACGTTCTGTAATTTGCTGTGACGATGCGCAGCTATAGTAGAGAGGCTTGTCTAAAACAGGAGAATATTGAAGATAGTCGCCAAAGAAAATGACATTGACACCACCAAAAGGTATCTCAGAATTTACGTGCTTGGCTGTTTTCACTATTCGATTGAGACGAGCTAATAGGCTAAGTCCTACCATACTCATCTCATCGATTATCAAGTACTTCACATGACGCCATTCATTTTCCAATTTCGTATCGCCAGGTCTAAATGTACGGGTTTGTTTCTTTTTACTGTTTTTGCGACTTTCACCTAAAAATGAATGGATAGTTAATCCGTCAATTTCAGCTGCTGCTATAGACGTTGGTGCCAGTTTACGCAACATCTTGTCCCTCTTGGTTACTTGGAAATATTTGGTAATTGCACGAATCAACTGAGATTTTCCAGTGCCACCGCAACCAGGTATGCACATTAATAACTGATTATCGATAGTATCTAAATATTAAGACTATTCAAAATTTTCAATAACAAAATCAATAAAATATTATATACCGGTATAAGCACGATTTTCGCCATCTAAGTGACTAGTTATAATCATAAAAGCATATTTTTGCTGAGTGCTTAGTGTAAATTGTCTGATAATATCTTGTTTTGTTGGAAATAATATTGCATTGGTTGTAGTCATAGGTGGAACTCTTGTAGCTCTCGTTTTAATGGGACTTGTTGGAATTTCAGTTGCTACGACTTCAATCTGTGTTTCATCATCTCGCACTTCCAGAGTATTTTCACCTGAAATTAAATAGTTTCTTGCTTCATCTCGTCGACCTTCAATGTCACGTTTCCATCCTTTAATCATGACGCTGTGATGTGCGTGAGCTACCACAAATGTGTTGATGTCGTGTATGGTGCCATAATTATTTTGGTGCCAAATGTGTCTGTTGTCTAAATCAAAACAAAATATTTTCGAAATATAATAGTAATTAACTCACCATTTAGTAATGCAAATCTATCTGTATTATCAATTGCTTGTAATGCATCATGAACATAGCGTTGTTCTTGAGTAGCTGCCATTGCAGAGTAAGTGTTTGTCGTGATCTCATTTACGATGGAGAACATTTGCAAAAGTTGTTCAGGATCGTCTTCTTCTGCATTTTCGTCGCCTTCATAGTAATTAGGCATCAAAATAGGGTCAATGCTGTTGTCGTTTTGGGCTTCTAAAAGAACTTGATGAAGATGTTCATCCCGATCGTGTTTGCATTCGTGCAAAAGTTCTATATTTTCTATAATCTTAAGCGAGTTGGGAGAGATCAACAGCCTTCGAGCTTCCAATGCTTCAGACCATGTCTCATTCGTTGCACAAAGGTTCTGGACTGATCGCCATGGCACGAATAATGTTAACAACGCGCGACAATAACGTTCATGTGTTTCTTCTCGTTCGCGGCGAGGTATTTGAGGACCTATCAGAACTGGTACTACTGGAATGGAACGTTTAATTATGAGATGAGATGTTGATTGTGGATGTACGCTGTCAAATGTATGACGTTCATTCATTTTCGTTCCTTCTGTAGGTAATTGTTGGCCCTGAGGATCGGTTACATTTTTTAGTAAATGACGATCCGATTTATCGATAGCCTTCTTGTGAAAATGGCTCACAAAGTCATATAAACACAATGCACTTAGATCCTTTGATCGATGCTGATAGTCAAGACGAGTATTGACCAAGACATACTGATCGCCGTTGTTGGTTTTTGTGGGTTCTAATGAAAATTGTTCTTCGATTTCGTTTTTATCTTCTCCTTGTTGATCGTAGAAAGGCGTTGAAGTCTCTAGAAAACTACATATTAAAAATCTATACAATTACTTTAAAAAGTTCTACCATCTATCCTCTCTTCAACAATTTCTTTTTCGTTAATTCGTGCTTTATTTAGTTCTGTTTGTAGATAGTTTTCGATTGAAATGAGAAAAAGATTTTTGAACGTATGTGTAGTGTAGTGGTCACCATAGTTCATTAGATATGACGCTACTTGAACACCTGAAACTTCTTGTTGTGAAGCAATCATATTAAAGCAGCGTAACACTAGTTTACGCGATGTGCCAACAATGTTATCTGTGCTATTAGAAATTCGTTCATGCTCGATAGATTTGATGCCTTGTTGTGCCAGCGCAAACATATCATAGAAGGCCAGAGTAGACTTTGTTACATAATCAGTTATATAGTAAACTAATGCTTTAGCGTCATTTCCACTCCAGATGAACTTAATGTCCATGTTTGATCGACATGCAGTTAAGAGCCATTCGTTGAAGTTATTGATCCACGGGTGCGATCGACGCATAGTTATTTGTCCCGTCGTAGGATCAATATTAGAAACCCTCACTAGTGCACGTGGCATGCGCCTTCGACAAATTTTTGAACTCTCATTTTTGCCTTTAGAATATTTATAGCAAGCTGCAGAATGCTAGTGAATATTGCAGGTTTCGACCAATTGAACTGCATCTTTGCGAAACGTTTGATCGAAGTCTTCCAATGCAGGATTTGGTGTCGGGAGACATGGTGGTATAACTTCACTTGCTGTTGATCCAATTTCTCCTAAGATGAAGTGAGAATTATAATTAAAGATCTACTAAAAGCTTCAAAGCTCACCAATTAATGTTCTATCATCGCTTGTCGTACTTGTTCCGTCGTTGGTTTCATCTTAAAAAAGAATATTGATATTCAAAAGTACAAAAAATAGAAGTCTCATAAATATATAGTAAGAATAAGTGATCAGAATGAAATATGTTTTGCATTAATAAAAATGTTAACAATGTTCTGAAAGCTCAAGTTCGAGGTAAGGCAGTGATGCACTATCAGGGTGTAAAACAGCATCAAGTAGGCAAATATAACAACTTCAAATGACAGATTCGAACAATGTTAAATATATTATCTCGAAACGAATCTAAATCTTCTTTTATAATATCTTCTAAATATTATAGTAAATTTTCATGAAAATCTTGATTTTGTATATTTTCTTTCAACTGTGCTGGAGTATATTCATGATTGAGCCAAATCAAGAGATGTAAATGGAGCGATCCTCTTCCTTGACTCTCTACAGTGCCGAAATACGCTTTTGCAGGACCAAGTACACCGCCCAGTAGTAGGCTTTTCAAAATGCTTTTTATTAAACAGTTGAAGAACTTTGCAGTTGCAACAGGGTGCGTCGCGACAATTTGAGCACGCTCATAACTTGTACGCAGGACTTCTGGCAGAACGTGATCAAGATCAAGATCGATACCTCCAAAGTAAGGTGCCACTGGACTATGGATGTCAGCTGGATTGATTGTGAGGAAAAGGCTAGGAAGACCAAGATAAAAACATAAAGAATGAATTTTCATACGAAGAGCTGATCGGGAATGAGCTGAACCCATGACGTGACCACCAATAATTTTGATGTGCTTCATCAACGTATTTATTCTCTCGTCAGTAACTTTTGAATAAGGCGCTTTTGAGATATTAATAAGGGCTGCTGCTACATCTTCAGAACTCAATGAGTTAAGAACTTGTGCAGATTGTTGAAACCACGATCTTGTTGTCATTAATTGGGCGTGGAAACATGCTGTTCGGAGTTGTAAAATATTGAAGACAACGAATATAAATGAATAGTGTTCTTCAAAGCGGCGATCTGCATACGAAAGAAGATATCTGAGATGCTCACGAAAATTGATTTGAATCGGTCGAGAACCATCCTCAAGCCCACCACATTCATATGGGAATAGGGTAGGAAAGATTTCTAATAAAAGATTTGGATTAGAATATTCATTGGCCGGTTTGTTGCCACGAGAAATTATGTATACAGTGTCTTGTTTAGAGTTTTGCTTGGTGACTTTTCCGTGTGTTTTTTCTGGCACTTGTGCTTTGATTCGTTCTAAAAGATGTTCAGCAACTTCATCAGACGACACTTTGGTACCATTGACATCTAACACAGCACTATTACATAAACAATATTAGTACCAAAATATCAACATGTCTCTTTGTCTTACCTTGAGATTATAGGTATAGCTGTTGTATTGTTAAATTCAGATGCATTGGTCAACGGATCAGGAAGGTAACTTGCTCTTTCATTTTCAGCTGCTTCTACATTAGTAGAAACTTCCATGGTTGCCCAAAAACACTTCGGTACATCATCTTCAGGTAATTTGCTGATTATTGATTGATTAATTGTAACATTACGATATAGAGCATTATTCTGTCTAAGCCATTGAAGTGCTTCGAAAACTTTCTTTTTTCGAACGGTCAAAACATTTTTTAATTGGTTTCGTTGATGAGGACGACATCCAACAAAGATTATCTTTAGAGAATCACATAGATCATCTAAATCTAGTGGTAAGGTAGTAGCTATGTTAATAACATCTTGGGGAAAACTTATGCAATTCCTTCTTAAAGCTGACTGAGCTGTACTTGTCGAATGAAAAGACGAATGTAACTTGACAATGCAGCCATTGTGCCGCTAAAGAGCGATTAGTTTTTCCTCATGAAGTGTTAGTCCTTGTAGTTCTTCTGGGACATCTCCAGCCCATATTTTGTTGGCAGGCGAAAATTTCGGTACTTTCCCTTTTATTAGAGACGACCAACACTCCGAACAAATGTCGCAGTGTATCGAATATCGTTTTTTTCTCTCAACAGTTTTATGCAATCCTGCTTCATAAAAAACGATGCCGTTTACATAAGTAAACGACTGTTTATTCATTGTTGATTGAGCATGCGTATCTATAATTAAAAAAAATTATTTACTGTATTAGTTTACGTATTAGCGAGACTAACCTGCTGCTCTTTCTTTCTGAATCAACGCCTTGGCAAGATCACCACTCATGTTAAGCTTATCATGTGACTGGAATTGGTACGTTTCCTGCATTCCCTGAATTATGTCATAAAAATCGTCGGGTACTTTCAGTAATTCGATAGACGGTATTTTACTGAACGGTATATGGTAGAAATCACGTTTGTAGCAACGAACATTACAAATACCGCAAACACCTACTTGCAGAGAACTCATCGACATATGTTGAATAAAGTTCTTTAAACAGTTCTTCTTACGTTCAATATCAATAGGTTTTGGCCATTCAAAGTCGTTACTTTGTTGTTGGTGCTTGTCGCTTTATCGAAGCCACTTTCTCTGACGAGCAGATGCACGCTGTCGTTCGAGTTCATCAGATGTGTAAGCAGCTTGTCTTGCGGTACTTCTTTTGCAAGCTACCACACACCGCTCTTCAGCTTCTTTTGGGGGTGCAGTAGCTCGTTTATTCATACTTCGTTCGGCAGCAAGTGTTCGTTGTAGCTGGATCTCTTTCGATGTAAAAGTAGCTCTCCATGCTGCAAATTTCTCACGAGTTAGCTCTCGCTGGACTTCGATTTCTTGCACTGTTAAAGCAGTTTCTCTGGCTGCACTTCTGTCTCGAGTCATAGTACGTTTATGTTCAAGTTATTCTGATGTTAAAGCAGCTCTTCTAGCTGCAATTCTTTCTCCTGCAAGGGGCCGCTCTAGTTTAGCTTGTTCTGATGTAAAGGCAGCTCTTGTGATAGCGCGTCTTTCGCTTGCAAATATCCGCTATCTTTCAGCTTCCTCTGGTTTAGCTTGAGCTTGTTTAAAAGCCATCCTTTGACAAGCTTGTAATCGTCTTTTGTCAATATTCGTGTTCTTCGCGCTCGTGTGAGTCTCACTTGCTTGTAGTATTCGTTTAGTTCGAGAAGTTATTGCGGTTTCCTGGCTTACCATGTAATAGGTCGATGATGTTTGAAATTGTTGAATTTTATTATTCTCCATATTAAATTCAGGAATGCGAATTCGAGTTAGTACGTTATTCTTCGTTGTTGAATTAGTTGGCGTCCGTAAGTGAAAATGTGTTTTATTTGTGTAAAAAGTTCTGTACTAAAACATTAAACTCACCAAGCGTGACACAGTGGATTTCGGTTCAGTCAGGTTACTTTGATTCTGAGACTCACTCGATGGAAGTAAAAGTGGTGCGAAATTATTAGGTGTCTAATTACCAATATTACCTCTACATGCGTCCCTTTCACTTTGAATATGTCAGCCGGATGTATAAATTGTTTTAGATGAAATATTGGATTGAACATGTTGAAAACTACTATTCATGATGTCTAGATCGAGTCGACAATCAATTCTTGGATATATAATTAGTATATTGCATTGAAGGACATTACTCAAAGCTGCGATTTCATTAAGTTCCGAGAATGAAAAATGATAGGTGATATTTTTTATCACCTCATTAAGTGATCCAACAATATGTGCAAGGCGATTGCTGTAGATAGTTTCATTTTTTACGAATTCTATTACAGTTCGAACCAGAAAGATTGCATTAACAAAACTGGGCAGTAAAGTTGAAAGTATCTACCTCTCAGTTCGCAAGATATCAAGACTGTATTATGAGTTAAACATATGATAGAGTTATGGAGACAATTGCCATCTGCAATGACGTCAATCGGAATTATATTTTGAACGCCCAAAGATGTGTGCTGAAGATATGATTTAGCTTCTTGATCTACCTTATGAATAACTAGGTTGAAATGAGTAACAGGTGCAAATCGTATCGGTGTTAAAAGTCAGCCTATCTAAATTGCTGAGACCATATGAATCGAAACTTCTTTTGTGAAAACTTATGGTCCCGATTTGTCCACAAACAGCCTTAATTCGATCATAATAGTTGTCTGCTGTGGATGCTTTGTCAAGTTGCGGATGTAGGTTTGGGTGTTCGTGTGGATGTCATCATGCACAGATACCCACAGCCACACGCATCCATCGCTACACACTCACACCCGAAATGAATTCTCTTCCTCAAGGTTGGATTTTGCCCATACCTAAACAAAACGCACATTTTTCAGATAAACAGCGTAGGTACCTCAAAAAAATTTGATGAAGGCGTTCCCGGTGTGAACCGTTGGAAACCGAAACAGTTTGTATTAGATATGGACACCTTGAAAGAAAACGGCAAGTTTTACTTTTCGGCTATCGAAGTTTAAAATGAAAATGAGGTTTGTTCATTTTTCTCTCAACTAAAACGCGAACAACAGATGATTGCCACTCAAAATTTGTCAGGTAGTAAAGTCGTCATCGAAGATAAACCCATTAAAAATACTGGTAATGATATTGAGAACGAGGACATTGACTTTGAACTTGAAATATTAGACCAAGATTTTCAAGACATTGAAACTGCTGTATAAGAGATCCAAATGCTAGAAAGCTTTAGTATGAATCGTAAAATGGCACTTGAATCATCTCTTTAAATGTATTCCCAGCTACAACCACTCCTCTGACATTAAAGAAAACCAAATAAAATATAAAACAGAACCAGGTTTACCGGATTAGGGCTAAGTCATTCTAAATAAACGGATGGGTATGGTTTTACCGAGTTATGCTCGCGTGAACATACCAATGGGCACGGATTTTCTGAATAATGACCATTGATAAAGAATTATATTGTTTGCATGAGTGCGGCTTTTCCAAGTACTCTTCATAGACAATAAAGGGACATGTGTTTTCCGAATAATGTCCCTCCTCTTCAGGCATCATGGGCTCTACGTGCCGAAGAGGAGAAGCACGGATAAGATTCCCCTTAAACGTGACCATCAATTCTGCGTCTTGTATAAAGTAAGTGTACAACTATTTAAACAATACTTTAACTTCCACTGAAGTAAAATTGAACGTTAATCGACTTATAAAGTGTTTTCAGCTCTTTTGCATAACATGATGCAGACCCATTTTACCTTCGTAAATTACGATAAATGATAATTCAACAGTTTATATAGACGATTTGCTTATTGAAATATATCGTACTTGTGTGAAAAATACTTTAGATGCATCATAGTCTTCTTAAACTTTTGTTCGTTTTTCAGAAAAAAATATTCAAAATAATTTTTTCTCATAGACACTGTCCAATTGATCAACGTTGTAAGCCATTTTTGGACATCATTCGAAATCTTTTTTATTTTTTTTTATAACAATTTTGTCGAGAGAAAAAAGTCGTATAGCTTATAAAATATTCAGCGCAGGATCTCTTAAAATGACTAAACGGAAGCTGATACACTGTAATATATTGCTAAAAGATAGTCTCATTTTTCCACTAGAAAATAACGAGTTATAGATAGTATTTCATAGATAACTCTCGATTAGTCCATGGAAATCTAACATATTAAAAGATGATTTTGTTCAGCGTCGAAGCCGTATCTTTTGGTATATTACACGAAAAATTTCATAAAATTATTGTCATCTAAAAGAATCTTAACTTTCTATGCAGGATTTTTTAGTTTTCCTCAACTAAGACTCTTACCCTGTGATAGGTGCATTCGAGCTAACTTTCCAATGGCTCAACAAAATGCTCTAAAAGTTTGCATTTAGCGGTTTTAGATGATGCTGAACAAAATAAGAACATAAAAACAAAAATTCAAATTTTATCGAGTACTTCAATATCTACCACGATACTCGATCATCTCGCGGACTCTCTCTTAAAAGCTTGGAGCCTCTTCATGGAAGAAGCAGTTTTGTCAAATACGATCTGAAAAGAATGTTGAACTCTTTAGAGGTAGACATATGGACTCACCTCCCTTTCCTCGCCACAGACCATGACAGACAAGGTCTGGAGTTTGTTTATCGTCTCTCTTTAAGTTAGGAAGTACTGATTTTGTCTTTTAAAACTCAATTACTAAGTTATCGTGTGTGTGACTATTGGTTCATGCATTCCAAGTTGAACCTGACGTTGCTTGCAAACGAAGCAAAACTGAGGTTTTGTTAATTATTCTTTTATCACAAACAAACAAAATATTACTCATTTTCGTCTAAAATGCAGTAGTATCATTCTTTACACTGCAGGAAACAGAACGCTCTTGTTGTGTCTTACTCCGTTTTAAAAGTTTTCATATTGATGTTGAAGCTTTGTTTCATACATCTATTTTCAAAAATATCATTCATAGAACACATTAATCGATACATTTCCTGGAGAATTTGTTTGATTGCGGAACTTACGTACATTTTCAAAGAAAATAGTCAGTATAAATTTTAAGACCAAGATGTTCCAGTTCCCCTCCTCCTCCACCCCATGACAGACACATAGCAACAGGAACAGAAGATTACTGGTGTAACCCCTC